CCTGGCCCTGATTGGCTCCCTCCAATCTGGGCCCTGATTGGCTCCCTATAAGGCCTTCCCCAATTGGCTCCCTGTCTGTGCAGGCCCACTGGTCTGCTGCAGTCCAAACGCTCAGGGAGTAGGGCAGCCGCCCCACTACACCCCCATATTCCTCATTTACATATAATTGTGATATTGCATATAAAACATGCCATGTGTTGTATCAGGGGAAAGGTTATAATTTGCTGAAAGTCATTCTTCCATCTAAATATGTGCATATGCATATAAAATTATAAGAATTGTGTTGTATGGTTTTCACAAAAATATGCTGTGGGTTTGGGAAACACCCAGATGCTAACTCTCCAGAGAGAATGACAAGGGAGGTAAGCAATGCCCCGGTGGCTGCTAAACAGACATCACCAGCCATTGTCCAGCAGAGGAGCTTCAATTCAATGCCTTACTCACAGGAGACACACCGAGGTATTGCTTCACCTTATGATTCAACAACGCCTGCTAGACATGCCTGGACCTGTGTTTTCCAAGCACATGGACTAAGGGTAGAAAACAGAACACAGCGGCCACATGCTTGGCCTTTCTCCTTCCCCCACCTACACTGCAATCAACAAGGACACTCAGAAGACTGAAGACCCCAACAGAGGGGACTGGCCCAGGTTTCCAGGGTGAAACCTGTCTACTATGAACTGCAATATCCAGGGGGTGAGAAAAAGTACTTAATCTAGATATTACCCAATCTAATAGGGTTGAGAATTTAGACTGTGTACCTATATTTTATTTTATTATGGTAACCACTCTGAATTTTTGCCTATTACTTATAATCACTTAACAGCTATCTTTTGTAGTCAATTAACTTGTTTAACTGTTTAACTTTACTAGTGGGTTTGCCTGAAATGTTTGGTAAATCTGCTCAGGTTTGCAAAGTCTGGTGTATATCCACTTTCCATTGATGAAGTGGTAAACCAATTAATAAACTTGCACTGCTTGTCTTCCTGAGGCACAGTGCTGGGAACTGGGAGCGAATTGGCTGGTGCCTTTCTCTGTGTGAGTCATGAGTGGCTCTGGCAGCACTCATGCAATCTAGTTGGGTGTGGGGCTCCACATACTGTCGTGGTGAGTGATAACAGCACCTGGAGGGGTTTGCTGCTTGTCACCAGCAAAGCATTGTGAGAGACAGCCCAGTCTGGAGAGTTAAGAGGCCACAGTGGTCCCACAGTCCCAGGCTTCACCCCGGGGATCCCATCACAGGGGTTGTGGGTGCTCAGCACCTCACAGGGGATGGCCCATCTCAGAGAATCTCAGCCTGAGGAACAGTCACCTACAAAGGAAGGACTGGGATCCTTATTGCTGGGATATTTCCAAACACAGTGGGGTTGACTCTGGAAAACCCCCTGCAGGGAATGTGCTGTCCAGATGCAGTGCAAGGGGCTCAAGAGGGCTGTGTTAGGAAATCAAGTCTTGGGGGAGATTTGCCCTCCATTTTTGCCCCTTCTTGGACAGAAAGGTGAAGCCACTAAGGAAACACTAAATTCCACTAACTTGCTCTAAATGATGGACACTGAACAGTGCATGTTCAGAGTCTCTGCCTCCTCTTCACTCTCCAACAGCAGCACAGGCTAGAGGGGAGCTATATGGGAGGGCGTTACACTGCCCTGCCAGCAGAGTACGGGGAAGATGCTGGGTACTTGACAGTGGCTGTGAAAGCAAATGTTGTCTTACTGCCAAGAAACAGATATATTCAGGCCCTGAACCTATTTCCTCGGAGGGAGGGAAGCAGGGAGAAGGGAAAAAAGCAAGGAAAGAAGAAGAGAGAGGAGGAAGGGAGCAAAGGGAAGAAAGACAGAAGGATAAAACACCACCAGTGCTTCAAAGGGGCAGAATCCTAGGTGGGAAACTTTTCTTCCATCTTAATCTAGTGATTGGTGAGCCCATATCTTGGCTGGTGATAGGTGGATGAGACTGAATAGTGAGATGAAACTCTAACCTCCCAAATAGGGAAGCTCAATTTTCTATGAAAAGAAATTAGTAAGAAAGGAGAAAACTCCAAAGCAGCTCCTCCCTGGCGCTCAGGTGTGTGACCCTGACACCTGTCAAAGGCCTCCAAGGAGAAATTGAAAAAGATACTTCCTGGGGAAAGCCTCAGGGGTCTCAGAGATTGCAAAAGCCCTCCCTCCCCTGAATGTCAAAGATGTCAGAAGTTGATGGCAGATGTAAGAGAGCCAGCACGGCTAGGAGATCATCGATTCATGAAATCAGAGTAGTTTCCATGCCATGCCTAGGATTTGTCCTGACCAAAATAACTCAGGTACAGCAGGAGATCTCAGGTGACATTAGAGTAGTTTCCCCCTAACCTGCTCAATGAAATTACCCAGAACATAGACAGTAAAGGCTGGGTAATGAGAGCTTGAAGTCATGGCTTCTTGAGCATGTGCCTAACAATGGGTCATTTGAGTGAGGATTGCTCTGTGCTCTTCCATAGCAAGGCAATAATGCCAATAGAGAGTCACAGCAACATAGCATTGAAGGCACCCAGGGTTGCAAGGCAGATGTTGACTGAACCCCTTACTGGCCTGGGTTATCCCAAGCATCATCTATGGCTAAATTATTAACCTCTCTGTGCCTCAGCTCCCCACCTGTACACTGGGGACAATGATACTTACGTTACTCACAGGGATGATGTGAGGGTAAATTGATGAATGTCTGGGAGAGGCTGAGATATTACAAGGATGGGGCCGTAGGAGTAAATAGATAGTTCAGTTGCTAGAAATTGTAGAACTCAGCCAGGATGCTTATTTACTTCTGTATGTGTTTGCTTCCAGTACAGCCCCTTTCTGTTACACTCAGGGAGTGGACATGATCATACTGTAACTAAAACCCAGTAGGGCTGTTTTAATCTCCTGCAGACTCCTGCCATTTGCTTGCTCTTTCATTAGTGACACTGATACAGCTATCTGACTATTTTGGAGGAGGGGTGTTGTAGATCTGGCTATGTTATCTCACAACAGGGATTCATATTTGACTTTCAAAGCTTAGAAGGGACCATTCTGATCATCTAGTCTGACCTCCTGAATAACACAGATTTCACAAAGTAATTCCTACATCAAGCCCACAGTTTTGGTTGAACTAAAGTGTATCTTTTAGAAAGAGAACCAGCACAGCTAGTTGCAATTGTTTCTCTCACAGGATCACAAAACCACCTGAACCCTCTTTCTGTTCTACTTGAATGTGAGCTTCTTAAATCTGCCTTTAGTAGCATAAGCTCACAGCATGTCATAAAATAAATCTGCAAATAAACCCCCAGAACCCTCCATAAGAATCCATATGCACTTTTTCTCCAGGGGGAAGGATGGAGAACGACCCACGTGTGATGAAAGAAAATCATGTCACTTCCTGCATCTCTACGATGCTCTGATGCCACAGTGACGGGCATAGTATCAGAATTTGTAGGGCAGAGAAGAGATTAGGGGCTTCTTGTCACTGTCTAATTGTGTGTGTGTGCGCTCATTAAGGTGCCTGTAAATAACCTCCCATTTATCCTCCTGGATTTCAGAGGGAAGTCTGGAGTCTGGATTGGGGGTTAGGGCCCTCTCTGGAGTTAGGAATATTTAGTTGCTGAGTTTCTCACTGTTATCACACCCCTGATAGAACATTCACTTTCAGTGCAGTGCCCATCCTAGAGCTGGCGATACCTGAGAAGTGACATTTTAACATTATTACTTTTGGGTGATTCAGTTGTAACGTTGCACTCCATAATGTTTTATGGAAATATGCTTAAGAGTTTTAATGTAATGTAACTGGAAAATGCTTTATGCAAAAGGTCTCTTGTAAGGTATCATTTCAAATCTTATGGCCTACTGAATATATTCATCCTATTTGGGTGCAAGTATCATCACTGTATCTGAAGCTAAGAATACGAAGTATAACTCTGAGGTCTTATTGTATCTGTGCAAAGTGTGGGCCATTAATGATGGTCTAGAATCTTGATGGCTCGCATTGATTAGGACAATTGGTTGTAAATGTTCATTTACCTGCAAGCCTTCCTGTGTTCCTGTGAGCCAGCCCAGGAAGAATAGAGGCTGGGGTCTCACAGGACATGTGAACATGTCACCTGATACTGAAATCCATCTTAAACCTGGTGCTTTTCCATATAGAAGGAGGGGTGGAGACCCAGAGAGAAAATATTACTGCCTTGTTCTAGAGCTATAGAAGGGGTGGGACAAAACAAAGGAGACTACCAGTCATGAGAACACCCCTGCTTTCCATCTAAGATGTCTGCTGGAACTAACAAGGACTGTACCAGGGGAAAGGATTGCGCCCAGACTAGGAAGGAGTCTAGTCTGTGAAAGAAGCTTATTAGAACAATTCTGAGGGTGAGATTTTACCTGTAATCAGTTTCTTAATGTATTAGGCTTCAACTTGTGTGTTTTTGCTTTATTTTGCTTGGTAACTTACTTTGTTCTGTCTGTTGTTACTTGAAACCTCTTAAATGCTACATTTTATTCTTAATAAAATCACTTTTGTTTATTATTGAACCCAGAGTAAGTGATTAATACCTAGGGGAGCAAACAGCTGTGCATATCTCAGTGATATAGAGGACGAACAATTTATGAGTTTACCCTGTATAAGCTTCGTAAAGAGTAAAATGGATTTATTTGGTGTTTAGATCCCACTGGGAGCTGGGTGTCTGGGTGCTGGAGAAAGGATACCTAATGAGAAGCTTTTGGTTGAAGTCTGCAGCTTTGGGGGCGTGGACCAGACCTGGGTCTGTGTTGTAGCAGACTAGTGTGTCTGGCTCAACAAGCCAGGGTTCTGGAGTCCCAAGCTGGCAGGGAAAATGGGCTCAGAGATAATCTCAGCACATCAGGTGCCAGTCCCAAGGGGGTCTCTGTGACCAAACCCGTCACATTAGTCTCCATCTCTCTCCCTGCTGGTCCACATACAGCCATCCAACACACCTGTTAAGAGAAACATCAGGCCTGGAACATATCTTCAAAAAGGGTTTAATAAGAAAAAGCAAAAATTCACAATGAAGAAATGTTAGGAACAAAAAAGCAGGGAAGTTCCAGACTGTCTGATCAATGGGAAATTAGAGGGGAAATCACAGCGCCTGTCTCAGTCACACACATTTCTTGCATTTAAACAAAACTGAAATAAAAAAGCTAATTGAAGTAGTTCCCAGGCAGGGATTGTCTCCAATACCCCCATTGCCCAATGAGCATTTGGGAGAGGAAAAGTTTAACCATACAGCATTTACATCCACCCAGGATATTTGATCTGAACACAGCCATTCTTATATTGATGTCCCAGAGACGCCATCACCAACATCATCATAACCTGGGTCACGAGGAGGTGGGGACAGGGCATCACTCTCTGCCCCAGAGGCCCCTTCACTTCTTAGCGTGTGCAGACTCCAGCCTGGAAATAGCAAGGAGGTACATTATAGTCAATGTATCCATTCTCCACCCATGTGCTCTCACATAATGGATGGGCAAGGTACAGTATGGGCTGTGAATCAGCCCCTGCCCCCAGTTCCTCTGAGTGGGTCTCTGACAAGTTTAATCCATTATCTCTCTCTGTTCTTCAAAGAAAACATGGGGAAACAGATTCTCTCTGTGCTGAGACCTCCCTGGTGCAGGAGAAGTGTGGGGATGGCAGTGAGCTGGTGATGACTCCCTGATAGGCCACTGGGAGCTGCTGTAACTTTTGACAACTGATATAGTCCCTAAGGAACCACACGTCAGCAGAGACCTCGTGGCTGCAGCTGGGTGGGGACCCTAGCCCATAGAACATGCCTGGGCATCACAGATCTCACCTGCCCACACAATGCTCGTTCGCACATTATTCCCACCAAGACCAAAGAAATGCACATTTCATCCCAACCCAGTTTCCCCTGAGGTGCAAAGCGGGAGCTCAGCCATTGGCCCTAACTCTGATCCTATGCTAACGGGGACATTTACATATTGAAGTGAGTGATTTCAAACCTGATGCCAGGCCACTAACTAACCACACGTGAGGGACCTGCTCTTCCCATTACCACCCAGGGCACTTGTTTGGGGAAAGGCGCTTTGGCCCCGATCCTGCCAATGGACTCTTGTAACTTTGATGATTTGGACAATTCCACTGAAGTCAGCAAGACTATTCATGTGAGTAGAGTGACAGATGGGATCTAGTATTTGTAGGATCATGGACCTTAATAGGAAATCTTTTTAAATCTTGATTTAAGTCCATTTAACTTGGTTTAGTAGAGGTTAGGGTGGGGATACAGCTGGGAGTTTACCAATAACTGTATTTCAGTGCAGTGACAGTGACCTCTAGTGGCCAGTAAAGGCTCTTCCAGGTGAGTTGTCTACACACCACTCACCTGTCTGTGAATCCCAGTTCCTGACACTTCCCCCATGGGCCCCAGTGACTTCCTGGGCTCTCAGTCCAGAACCAGGGTCATCTTCAGGGTCAGAAATTTCTCTGGCATCATCATAACCGTCCCCTGGGTCATCTCCAGGCAGGACCGGGACCTCTGAAATAAAGATTGGAATTAATGGTAATGAGAAGAGGCTTTCCACTGAATAGAGAAATAAGCTACATGCCAGGAGTGGCAAACGAGGGAGTTATGTGTATTATTTCTTATGAATGCCACATACACCTCAGCTTAGCTGTTTGATATTATCCTGCCAGACTGCACAGAAAAAATCAAAGGAGGCTGTTGGTGAGGAAGCAAACAGGAAACATAAAACTAACAAAGACATGGCCCCTTAAGGGCACAATGAGGGGAGCTGTTAATTGTGGAATGAGTCTCCCTGGCTCCAGCCAGGCTAGTCTAGGTTAATTCTTCCCAGCCCTGAGCTCAGGATCAAAGGGCAGACTAGGGAATGAAGGGGGTGGAGCAGCAGTAGCTAAGGGGTAATGTGGCTTCCAGGAGGCAGATTCATCACTGCTCACCTCGACTGTCTGGAGTCTGGGGGACGTTGTTCAAGGCAGGCTCCTCCACGTTGTTGTAATCCAACCGAGACCCCCCTGGGTAATCTCCCTCTGGAAAAGCAAACACCACACTCAGCTTCCCCTGAACACACCCATTTCCCCAGCAGGTTTTAGTTCCCCATTAAAGGCCTGTTGTCTTGGAGTTTGGGCTGTTCATCATAGATTCTGTAGGGGAAGTCACAGGGTGACCCATGGGAAAAGGGAGAGTCATGGACATTCTATGAAACAATAATTGTGCCACCTTTATTGCCTCAAAAATAACTAGGGCCCAGCCCTGCCCCACAGCATCTAATGGCAACTTTGTCATGCCCTTCAATGAGATCAGGATCTATGCTGGTATTGAGCTAACCCTGGACCCATTGGGAGACAGTAGCTGCCACACCAGAGCTGACCATTGTGAATTCAACTGAACTCTATAAAGACATAGTTTAAAGTCCTTACTTTATATGGGCTGGATCGTGAATTGGGCTATATGCCGAGGAGGCAGGGGCTTAGATCATAGGGCACAGATCAGGGGTTGTATAGTGACATGTGTCACCTGTGGAAGTCAGATTCTTTCATATCTTGTAAATATTTCTCTGCCCGGTTCCCTACAGCTCCTCCCCTGGGGGAGTGCACCGTCAACCACACACAGAAAGGGTCACCGTTTGTTTACGTTTCCATCAAGAGTTGGACAGAAATCTTTTATGTGTCTCTGTATCCACCCCACCCTTGTTACCTTGTTCTGATCCAGGATCGTTTTCCCCCTCGCTGTCCCCGGTGTAATACTGCAGCTTCGTCACTGACTCATCTGAATAGGAGACTGGAGAAATGATAAATGGGATGTTATCACAGTGAGAGTAGCAAAACTGGCTGATGGGCAATGCATCCAGGTCCTGGAGCAAGATCTACGGTCTCAGTATATTGCTCCTTGAAGAGAAGATGCTGAATTCACAGCGACTGAGCGGTGAGAGGCTTACTCAAACTTTCCAAGATAAATATCCTTTTTTTGTGGTAAATGTGGCTTTGGCGTGGATAAAATCAGACTGGGAAGATGCTGGGAACAGCCATATTGACCTCATGAGGTGAGGCAGGGACTGAGTGAGCCTTTAACCATGGGATCCCCTCCTGTGGGTTTCATTTGAATCCTTCTCATGAACTGGGGAGCCTGTTTTGAGTCACACTCAAGGTGTAAGAATCTGTTTAGAGAGGAATGTTTATCTTCTCCTCCTGAATGTTGCTACTTCATGGCCTGATCCAGCAGAAAATTATGGCTGAGGCTGCTGGTCGAGACCCCCTCAGCCACGGACATGACTCCCATTTTGTTATGCAAGATACTCCTCCTGCCCTGCCTTATTGCCAGATTAGGCCACGCCCCTCCCAGTATCAGAGTGTGTGATCAACCCCCACCATTAGTAGAGAGGACAATGTGTATCTCAGAAGTAGCCTGAGGGAGACGTATTGACCACGCTCATAGTGCCCCACAATGTGCTAAACTGAGAGAAGCATCTTCCCAACTGATTGACACTGAGTCAAAAGGACGTGAACAGTCACTTTCCTGACCCATAACTAATTACCCCCTAAGTCTGCAGGATGTACAGATCGAACCGACTCAGAATGCAGAGTCTGCTAGGGAGGAAACTCATTCATCTCAGTCCAGTAACTGGCTGATCTCGTCACAGACCCAGCATCTGCAGCCATACAGGACTCACAGGCTTGAAGGCTGCAGAGATTTAGCTCTAGGTCAGAGCTTTAGACTGCAGAGTGCATTATAGATTTTCTCCCTGTTAGGAATGACACACACAGACCTGAGCGATCAAACATTTCCTGCTTCTTTCTCATCAGGTTATAATCGATCTCCTCGTACACGGCCTCAGAGAAAGGGTCCAAGGATCTTCTGGAGCCTAAAAACAAAGGGCAGGGTTTGCACAGGGTCA